ATTCATATTGTAAAAATAAAAAAAAGTAAAAGTGAGACGACATCACCAAAAATTTACGAAACGTGAAAATTCTGGTGTCCGACTACAATATAACATAAATTAGGTAGAAAATTTTATGCAAAAGACAATAAAATATCATGATTTAGGGTCTCGAATAAGTGTATAAATTACACTTATCAATAATCAAATAAAAACATTAAGTCGCTGGCTTCTCCATAGCACATTGCATCTTCATCTACCATTATTCACGTCCGAAGCAAATCTAATCAACATGTAGGGAGGGAATTAACCCTTGAGTTTGAAACTCAATAAATATCACCGGTACATTTCGTTATCAAATTAGAAAATTTGAATTATAGATTCATACCATCGCGCGTAGAATGATTTCCGGCAAAATCCAATTTCTATAGAATCATAAAACCTAGAGCCAGATAATGATCATTCAAATTATAATAGTGCCGAAGAACCATACCACGAGGCACCAATTCATTCATCCTTTTTACAAAAAATCACAACTTGAAAACGAAATAACCAATTGCACCCCTACCTACCTTCGTTTGACGCTTTTGAATCGATAAAGTTGGATGTGATTATTGTTTCCTGACTGCAATCAATGCTTTTACAAACAAAAAAATCGCCTATCTTTTCTTTCCCTTACTTTGGAAATTTTTCTTGCTTGTTCAAAGTGTGTGTGTATATAAATTACACACATATATTAGAATGTATGAATAATTTGGTCATGAAAGGTCAATTTCTTTAAAAAAAAAAAAAGGTTGCAGTCATCACTCCCAATTAAAGAAAATTTAAAATTGGTTAATTGTAAGTTTCATTCCTAAATTTTAGGTACTTTGAAAACTGTCAGTGCAATTCATTTACTTAATAACAACACAAATCCCCAAATAAAGATTTTAAATCATCTTTTACTTATAATTTGTTCCTTTGGAAAAATAATGTGTGTAACTCTAGTCTCGGAAATATTTATTATATAAATATAATTTTTTTTCATCATCGGGTCCAATCTTTGGGAGACATTACATTCCGTCATACCTTAAATAATTTGTCCTTTTACAAAAAAAAAAAAAAAAAAATGCATGGTTGCTTGGTGAACATCCATGAGATTAAATTTATTGAAGAAATATCGAACTAATATTGATCTTTCATTTCTTATATAGGCCGAGCATAAGGCTTGTCTAAGTGTTTTAGGATCATTACGAATTAAACATAATTTGAATTACTTTCTAATTATATTTACATTAAATTTGAATTTTATTTCAATTTATTTACTCCCTACATTCAATTTGATTTACTCGCCGCCAACTTTGCATCTGTCAACGAGATGGTTAACAAAACTATACTAGTAGCAAAATTCATTTGACAATATTGATAATGATGTAATTATACAATATTTTCAAAGTATTAAAATGTGCATTAACTTATTTTCATTAATATTATGCTATTTTTTCAAAAAAATACATTTTAATTTTTGACCACACAGCACAAAAAGTCTGGATCCGCCCCTGCATGTAGGTTTCTTCTGTTTTTATGAAATAAGTTTATTAATCAATGATTTGTTAAGAACAAATTTCAGGATATTGGAGTACAATTTTATAAAATTAAAGAAGGAGATGGGTGTGTGGCGGAGATTGAGAAATTATGGTGCCATTGCTACAGCTTGGAGGACTGGTTTTGATCAAAAGGAATTAGGTTTTGAATGGGAGACGGGGACAGATGGTTACATTGTTGCAAATGGTGAAATTGAGATTTGGGGATAGCAGGGGTTGTTTCTACTTGGGGATATGGGTATTTTATTGCGAGACGAGAATTCGACGATTGTATTTTACAGATATTTTTGGGAAGCGACAATGGTAAGAAGCAAAGGTATTTGCAGGGGTAGATTCTGGCGATCGACAAGCATTAGGTTTAACGGGGGATGTCTGCCTGCGAAAGGCTACTGTGGCATAAGCTAATTTAGCGAATGGTTGAGATGTCGTCGACGAGATTGGAGTAGCCAATGGAGTTGAAAATGACAGGTTTAGGATTTGGCTAGAGGCGGTAGGTGATGGCGACAAAATGATAAAGGTTGGCCTATGTTCAGTAGATGGTTGAGATGTCGTTGGTGCAAGATGTGTTGACCTATTGTTGATTTAAAACCTTAAATTTTTTACTATAACAAATAAGTTAATCTTGTTTACTAACAAGTTGAATTTAAGTGATAATCTTTCAACGCATATGATGGAAAATTGAGCAATGGTCGTCAAAAGATCAAAAGTTATCATCACAAATTGGACTTATAAAAGAAGTCAAAATCGAAGTCACATTCAAGATCTTAAGAGCCAAATTTGGAAGCAAGATCAAATACTTGATCTCTTAGCTAAAATGTAAAGGTACTAACACTTTAATACATGACAATGAATGTTTAAGCTCAAAACCCCTACATGCATTAAAAATAATTTTGTGCATTAAAAGTCATTCGTATACAATGATTTGATCAAATATAAAAATAATTCATAACCCACAAGTTTAAAGAAAATTGATTTTACAAATTGAAACTTCTTTTTTAATAAATGATATGATCGCAATTAAGTACCAAAAGATAAATAGGCTAACACTTTTAATAAATAGCAATGAATGAAGTTTAAGTGTTAGATGAGAGAACTTTAATGGAAAAGATGATATTCACAAGTTGATTCAATCAATCCAAAGTTTTCAGAGTAAATATTTGAAGAATTAAAAGATATAAGCTCAAAGAGTTTTGCTCAAGTAATTCTCAATTTTATGTTTTTCAAGAATGTGATTTGAATGCAAGAAGTAAATGTAGTGTATGATAGAAAACCAATTTTAGTATT